CTACTCTAGATGGAGTTGGACTTTCTTAATGAGGCTTAAATTTGATGTTGTTAGTTTGTTAAAACAATTTATTGCTGAAATAGAAACTCAATTTGATAAAAAGATCAAAAGGATAAGTTCTGATAATGGTACTGAGTTTTTTAATACTAATTGTCATGATCTATTTAAACTTCATGGCATCATTCATGAGAGTTCTTGTCCATACACACCTCAACAGAATGGGGTGGTGGAAAGGAGACATAGACACATCCTGGAAACTGCAAGGGCTATTAAATTTCAGGCTGGTTTTCCTAATAAGTTTTGGGGTCTGCGTATTCATGTTGCTACTCATGTATTGAACAGAATCCCTTCTACTGCATTAGGAAATGCATCATCTTTTGAGAAATTGTATGGGAAATCTCCTTCTTATGAGCACATGAGAGTTATTGGATGCCTATGCTTTGCCACCAATCTCACCACACATGATAAATTCAGTCCAAGGGCAGTAAAATCTGTTTTATTGGGGTATGGTACAACTCAAAAAGGATATAAATTGTATGACTTGGAAAATAAAAGGTTCTTCATTAGTAAAGATGTGGTATTTCTGGAAACAGCCTATCTTTTTCAAGACAATACTTCTCAACAGACAAAACAACTGAATTCTCCAGATTTATTTGCCTATGATGTCTTAGTTGCAGAGTCTACATCTACAGTTAATTGCCAAGATAGTGCATGCTCACCTCCTTCTCAAAATTGTGAAGTTTATTCCACTACTGCAACAATTGTTGATTCCTGTCCATATGCCACTTCTTCACCACATGTCAGGAGATCAAATAGAAGTTCTAGACCTCCTATTTGGCACAAAGATTATGTGACCAAAGCTGGTTCAAACATGTGTCACTATTCTCTTGCCTCAGTTCTAGACTATGCTGGATTATCACCTACATACCAGAGCTTTGTATCCAAATTTTCTGTTGAGACAGAACCATCTAGCTATTCAGAGGCAATACAAGATCCTAGATGGGTAGCTGCTACGAAGAATGAAATCCAGGCACTAGAAGACAATAAGACATGGGAATTAGTGACATTGCCTAAGAGTAAAAAGGCCATAAGGTGTAGGTGGGTGTACAAGATCAAATATAATGCAGATGGCAGTGTGGAGAGGTTCAATGCTAGACTAGTTGCTAAGGGGTACAATCAGAAGGAAGGTTTTGATTACCAAAAGACCTCTCACCTGTCGTGAAAATGGCAATTGTGAGGTCTGCTATCTCTATTGCAGCTGCAAACCATTGGACATTACATCAAATGGATGTCTATAATGCTTTTCTACAAGGAGATTTGTATGAAGAAGTATATATGACACCTCCTGACGGTTTGAGTGGAAAAGTTGGCAGTGATCAAGCATGTAGACTATTGAAATCTCTCTATGGGCTTAAACAAGCTTCAAGGCAGTGGAATATTAAACTCACCACTACCTTGATTGACTCAGGCTTCCTACAAAGCACTAGAGACTATTCTTTGTTTACTAAGAGGAAGGAGAACCAACTGGTAGTTGTGTTGGTTTATGTAGATGATTTACTGATAACATGCAGTGATTCCAATATGATCCATGAGACAAGGATAGCTTTGCAGCATGCATTCAAAATTAAAGACCTAGGGGAACTAAGGTACTTCCTTGGGTTGGAGTTTGCTAGAAGTAAAGATGGGATTCTCATACATCAAAGGAAGTACACTCTGGAGCTCTTAGCAGACATGGGACTATCATAAGCTAAACCTGTGTCAACACCTATGGAACTGAATCTAAAACTCACTTCAACAGAGTTTGATAATCACATAAATCATGCACATGTTGATACACTCCTTAAGGATCCTACAAGCTATCAACGGTTGATTGGGAGGTTGTTGTACCTCACAACCACTAGGCCAAACATATCATATGCAGTTCAGTGTCTAAGTCATTTTATGCATGCACCAAAAGCCTCACATATGGATGCAGCACTCAGATTGGTCAGGTATTTGAAGACAGCACCAAGTCTGGGGATTCTAATGTCATCTACTGGTGGGAATAATTTGTAGGTGTTTTGTAATGCTGATTGGGGTTCATGTATCAACAACAGAAGGTTAATCACTGGATACTTAATCATGTATGGAGATTCTATTGTTTCTTGGAAGTAAAAAATACAACTTACAGTTTCCAGAAGCTCAGCTGAGGCTAAGTACAGAGCCATGGCTTCAACTGTTGCAAAAGTTGTTTGGACTGTTGGTTTGTTTCAGGAATTAGGTGTTGACATTTCCCTACCAGTGCCTGTTTATTCAGATAGCACTTCAGCATTACAAATTGCTGCTAACCCTGTGTTTCATGAGAGAACAAAACACATTGACATTGACTGCCACTTCATTGGAGAAAAGATCCAGGATGGATTACTTACCATTGCCTATTTGCCATCCTTAGAACAGCCTGCAAGGCACTTGGAAAAGGCCCTCACACATATCTTATGTCCAAGCTAGGCATGAAGAACATCTTCATAGCTCCTAGCTTGAAAGGGGGTGTAAAGGAACTAACTAAATGTGTACAAGTACCTTGATGACACTAGCTATAATTGTATTATTATACACATACACTGTAAATGGTGCAAGTGTGCTTAGCTAGTTAGTTAGTTAGTTAGAATGTGTCAGTAAGTTGGTTAGAGGTGATAAGTTAAGTGAGTCAGTGTGTGGATATATATATAAGACAATGTATGTAGCATGATTTCCTCAATTCAATAAAATAGTATTTTCCCTTTCTCATTCCAGTTTTACTTCTCTCTCAGATTAGCTCTTCAATGGAGTTTTGTTCATATAATTCATCTTCTTAACACCAACATCCAATTCCTTACCTCCCTGACCTACCTCACATGAATACCCCACTAAAAATTCTAATTTGTCTTCTAAAACAGTAACTGTTTTCCCTTTAATAAAAAATTCACATTAATTCTATTTAATTAGTTTATAATTTAAAAATAAAAAATTAGAGATTAATTGTGGTGCTGACACATAGGCTCTATCACCTCTCCTATTATATATTAAAAGTAATAAACCCCTAACTTATTTTAATAAATATTAACCAATTAATATAGGGTATTAAATAAATTATGGACTTAGTCCATTAACCATCAACTAATAAAAATTAACTATTTAATAGATATCCACCAACTAAGTAATCCTAGTTAAATTAACTCGTTCAAAATTACCATTTAAATCTACGAGAAAAATTGAAATAGTTCTAATACTCAAAATAAACTAACGGGTCGTTACATAATTAGGGATAGAGAGTATATCGGCTCACATTCATTAGGTTTGCTCAAATAATCATCAATGCAGTTTTAGATGACTTTCATGTGCCATTAAATATATTTTTTAATGGTTTCATGGTTTTTGTATTGTTTCATAAAAATGTAAAAATATTATATAGATAAAAAAAAAAAAAAGTTCACACCTAATTTTTCCTGAAAATTTGGCTAAATATCTAACTTAAAAAAAATAGCATTTTATTTTCTAAGAACTTAATATTTTTGACTTACTAGAGGCTTGCTCAAACAAATCATAAATTGTATTTTTACTGTTTTTAGTTGTAAATTTAGGTATTATTTTATCAGAATATTGTGATGGCTGTTAATTTATTTTTTCAGCAAACTAATTGAGTGCCTAAAAACACTATCTAAAATTGCATGGGTACGTAAACCGACCTTTTATTATATCCATATGTAAAAATTACATAAATATATCATAATCTCTAAAATTTTCTATCATTTAAAAAAATTATTAAAATCCCCTCTCGGATATATCCCTATCCTCCTCTTGTATACATTCATCCCCTTTTGGATACATCCATGTCGTCTCTCGGATATGTTCCTCTCATTAAGCAATGTATCGGACAACCAAAAAAAATATCCGAGAGTAGAGAAAAATTCTGAATTTTAATAATTGGGGAAACTTTCGAATTAGGATGTAATTAACCCTCAAATATATGAAATTTCTGTACTTCAAAAACTTGAAAAAATGGAATGGGCCTATTCACCTCAGATCAAGTTTTATTCACAGACCAAAGGTCCAAGGTACTGTTAATTTATGGGCCAGCAGTTCTAAAGTTTTCGAAACCGCATTTGTGAATGCGTGACTAAATTGGGCCGAGTTGGGTAAAAATGGAAATATTCGTAAAGACTGTGGAGCATTTAGTTGATCGAAGTTTGCATGGCTTGTGAATGACAATAAAATTGGACCAAGTTCCTTAATGTTTCTATTATCTATGTATAAAATTAATACGGTGTTTAGTTTGATCATATAACTAATATATGTATACATTATGATGGAAAATTATGCAGTACATAAAGTGAAATAAATAATTAATACATGAAAAAATAAACTTTGCATACAATAAGACAAGTAACTTTCTATAATATATTAAATTGTGTTGATTGTATAAAAATTATTAATATTGTCAGTGAATATAAGATAAATTCCAGATATTATTAGAAATGTATTTTTATGTATGTCACTCTATGTCTATGGGATGAATTTTTGTATCTCGTATGTATTAATTTTTCTTAAGATATGGAATGTATTTTTATTATTTGTACCCATATATACCCTTTATATTTCTATATATTTCGCCTATTGGTTTTTTTAAATATGGATGGGATGTATTTTGTTGTTTGTATCCTTATTTGACTATATTCTTATGAGTGAATCCTTGTTTGACTTATTTTTGTGATTATGTACCTATGTATACACCCCTGTATTTTTATTCTTGTATACTCCATCCCTATTTCTTTGAATGTTGGCTCCAATGTATCCATTGCGTGTACAAAAATACATGTTGTATTCATCGCAAATGAATACAATCGACATAGACTGTATTCATTGCGCAAAAAGAGAAAGTTCCTTGGATGGTAAGCACTCGTCACTTCCAAGTTCCAACCCTAACCCGAAGGTTGTAAGTTTGAGTTACCAAAAGAGAAAAAAGGAAATATAGAGCGACAACTGATAATAGTAGAGAGTTTTATTGTCAAGAATATGATACAATTGGTGTATGGGAGCCACTTATTAACAGAGAAAGAAAACTTTTAGGGAAAGAATTTGAAAGCTACCATAGAACTTGTTTCCTTCTACAAAAACTTTCCTTTGCTCTAATCTATACTTTCTCTAAGTGGATTAGCCTAGAGTCAACAGGGAGTGCAATAGTTTACATGATGAGGGAAAATATGTTCACTCTGCAGCTGTGTTTTCTTCTTATATAAACGAGAAATCTCCCAGCGAGCACACGGCTCAAATGGACACGTCCCTCTACCCTTCTCCTCTTCAATATCGGGCACTGGTCTGTGGTCGGTTTTGAGCTCGTGGCTACTTTTCAGCTAATACTAAGAGAGAGAATGCCTCCCACTTCTACATGAGGTAGACTTTGTTTCCCCTGCATTAGAAGATGATGGGCTTTCTGATGTATCTGAGCTGCTATTCTCAGTTTGTCTATCTTTATTTGACCATAGTTTTGAGAGCATCTTTTTGGACATGATTGAACTCCTCACTTTGCTATCGTCAACCGTTGCAGCATTTGTTTTTGTGTCATTCAAGTTACTACAATTGTTATCTCCTCTGTCTCTCAATCTTAGAGTAGCAAGCTCACCTTTCAGAGCTTTAAGTTCCTTGGCTGTGAGCATAGCATCCGAATTGTCCTCAATGTTGGATGTAGCAGATGTGGAGCACCTCTGAGATCCCACCGGGAGCAAAGACTTGACCGATCTAGTCAGGTCAGGAGTGCTGCCACCACCGGATGATGCTGTGGCTCTGAGTTGCTCAAAGAACAGAACTTGTACAACTACTCGTAAAGGAAGGCGCTCATTCTGCACAGCATGCATGCAGGCCTCAGCTGATAGCTTCCTGCAGTCCATTAGCCTACAAATTCTTTTTCTCTCGCTTTTGGTTATCCCAGGATGTTCCTGTCAAAACAAAATAATGATCTTTCATGATCCTTGACGAGAAATTCTTCACATAATATTGGCATTTTCCCTCTCGAGAGTGAGGCTCTCGAGCTTACATGAACACAAACTGCAACTCAAACAAGAGAAGTACAAAATGATACCTTAAGATACATGTCAATAGCACGGTAAATTCCATCATGGGAAGGTCTAGAGAAGCTAGAGACCAATTCTGCAAGATTGATAAACTTCGATAGTGGTAGATTTGGATCTCTAGCAACTTCAGCAAGGTATCTATCGATTACCCTAGCCACCTTTACTTCGGAAGCATCTGATGCAAACGCGGGGCATATATCGTGGAATCTATTATCTGCAGAACTATCAATCTGACCGCTCTTTTGATGCAACATGAAATTCTCTACGAGGTTGTGTACTATGTCAATATCGAATATAATAGTCTCACTATCTGGAGCTCGAATTAGTAAGTCACCTACTGTTGCATCTTCCATATGCAGGCCAATCCTCCTCTTCAGTTCACTTCTCGTCGTTTGTCCACATTCAAATGCAATAGATGTTTGCAGCAATTTGATCAAGAAACTGCAGGAAACACTGTTCTTCTCTTTGGGCAACAACCAAGTAATCGTATCAACCATGTACCGATACTTTTCAGGATCACTTCCTTGTATACTGCCCTTGCTGAATCCCGGGAGCCTCCGGTTGGCATATGCTTTCAATGCTTCACCTATTGCTTCTGAAGAAATCCTTCCTTTTGTTTTTATTGTTACTATGACCCTTTTATACAAATCAATATGAAGCTCACAAAGGTCCTCAACCCACCAGTCTATTGGAACAAGTTGTTGCCAGCTCACCGCGTTACAGTGCAGATCACTTCCGTTTTCGGATGGAAGCTCTTTATGGTTATAAGTGTAAGACCAGTCCACCTTTAAGGTGTCTACAGAAGCTTTAGAAGCTACAGATTCCAGGCAATGACTAACGATTTTTAATTCCTCGGACCAGGGAAGAAAAGCTTTTGTGGTCTGAAGAACAATGATGGAGTCTTTCCAGCTCCGGAAGATGCTAGACGTAAGAAAAACTTCAATCTTGTAGATAAGATTTCCCTTCTCAACTGACTCATACATTTCCAAGTACTCTGCTGCACAACGAGCTGCAACGACATTATATGCATTCAAAGTTACTGTCATATTATAACAGAACTTTGCGCATACTTCAAAAGCAGCAGGTCCACCAGGTATATCATGGATGTTGATTTCATCACTATTTTCCTCGTTTGTACAAGCAATCAGTTTCTGCAAGCGATAACTCTTCAACAGAAGTGGGAACTGAAGAAAATGTACTTCTATTAGTATATTTGCTATTTCTCATTCAGAAAACAACTGACAAATATGGAATGAGAAAGGTTACTTACCTTGTGGAGGTAAAATTTCACATCTCCAACATTGATAACCATGTCAGTAGCCAATTCAGCTGCTACATACCTGAATATAAAGTTCATAGATCATATGCCTAATCAAAACTTTACCATTAATCTCAAATTACCACATCACTTCTTCATATGTGAAACGTAGACGAATAACTACAAGCAAATATTTGAAACAACAAATGCTATATAAGTTGATATGCGTAGACTGAAAACTGGAGGTTTACTAACTAACAAAGGAGCTATCCTAAATATATGAATGTTAAAAGTCTTCTTTTCATGAAGGGCATTGTAACCGCCACATGATCTAAGTTCTTGTAGCATACTTTTCCTTTTCCTTCATTCTAGATTTTACACACAGAAAGAGGGGTGTGTTTTGTTAACTCTCTGTCATGAAATAATGGTGTACGTTTCCCTTCCTGAAGCATCATTTTCATTTCCAGTTTGAGAAAATGACCCTTAAGTAATAAGTTCCTCGGTATGTAAAGCCACTAACATATTTACAGCCTAAAAATGTATCGGAGCAGTCCCTGAGCAGTCACACCATCACTGTGATTTTCATTAGTTGTACATTCACGGAGGCGTAGAAGAAGAGATGACACTATTAGAACGCTTCCCTGGTATCACTAACACTTTTTTCCAAAGTATTGGATCCTAGTTCAGAGAAGGCAAAGAAACCTATGTACTACTTTACCTTCAAGGTACTACTACACTTTCTCTGATCCAGGTTTCAACTGGATCAACACGGTATTAGTTCAAAAGAACACAACCAGAAATATACTGTTTTCTTTTACTTACTGAAAATGTGAAATAAATGAGCTCAGACACGTTATACAAGTCAAACATAAACACATCATTGCAATGAGTTAGAACACATCAAGAGTTTAGAGTAGCGTAAATTAGACTATAAATCAAAGGCAGCAAAAGGGCTTCTATCTATCTTGATCCAGATATGCCTGTTGTGGTATTTGATAAGAGGTGGGGAACCAAGAACAAGGCAATGGCCCAGGTTAGTTCTCGTGTGACAAGGGAAGTGGTCGAATTGTTGCTTTTGATTGTTAGAAGAAATCGAAAATATTCAATAGGAGTTACCGGAATGGCCAATAAATGTGAAAACATTAACTTAAAGGTCCAGTCTAGTTTGAAAAACAACATTTTCAAGAATATATTTTTGATGACAAAATCGTCTTCTGATGTTTGATGATCTAAATTTGTCGAAAGCTTATGTTTCAAGAAAAACATTTGATATCTACTAAGTGTGTAAGCCATTTATGAAACTTTTTCTATTGCTACTCCATATCACAGTGCTTCTACCAACCAACATGCTAACATTATTTTCAATTTTTCGCTACTCATATTCATCTTCAAATGCCACCTGCAAAACCAACCAAGCTCCTATATTGTTCGGACTCCACAAAATGTCAATAGGTGTGTGTCGGATTCTCCAAAAGTATTATATTTTTGAAGAATCCGACACGGGTGCAACATCGAAAGTGAAGAGTCCCCGCAACTCAGCCAAACTTAGAATTTCAATTTTTTACCCAACCAAACAGTTGAAGATTGATTTAAGCAACTATAACCGCAAAAACATTTTTCATCAAAATTTTACAGCATGATGTGCTTTCTGTGTTTGTAATATGAGAGGAAAAACTAACTTAAATGAAGACAGCAAAAGTTTCAACAACCATAGCACTACAGTAATATAAAAAGTACCCTGTCGATCAGTGCATAAAACTTAAAATCATCTAGAAATAAGAAATAACAACAACAACAAATCCAATGTAGCCTCGAAAGACCCGCGGCTCAAGTAACACATATTAAAGCAGAAACAAGAAATATATGCAGAACAAACAAAACTCAACAGCATTCACCAAAATTTAAGTTCATTATTCACCTGATACTATCTCCTTCAGTCTGAAACTGATCAGGCTTAGATCCAAGCTTCATATACTTCATCTTCCGGCGCGAATTCTCTTCACCTCTGATCTAAAATTCCGAGCTTTTCTAGGCCTTCAACAAGAAAAAAAAATTTGATTTCTTTGATGATTCTGTCTCTGTTAAATGCTAGTTATAGTTTCTTGAAAATCAGAGGCAATCCCACTTGCACTCACTGACACCACCGCCCTTTAACTAATTCTTTATATATAAACTTCACCAAATTGTTTTTTTTTTTTTGAGAAAACAAGTAGAAAAAAAAACCTGTCACAGCAAAGACACATATCAGAATGGTATGAATTGAAGAGCACCACTCAAATTTTTAGACAAAAAGCATCAACTGATTCTGGAAAAATGCACAAATATGAACAAACAACCACTACCACCCAAAAAAATAAAGTGTTTCATATAGGCAAATGTAAAATTTCTAAGACATAGAATCTTGATAAACATAACAGGACATTGGAGGATGAGAGTTTATATATTACTTACACATTTCAACTGAATCTAGTATTTTCCACGCGGAACATAAATATATATAAACTAATAACAAGGCAAAAAGGAAAACACTAAACCCCCTTTTTCATCACAGGTTTTGAAGTTGAAACTTAAAAAATTGACTTTTTGAAATTTGAAATTGTATTTGGACATGCATTTTACTTAAAAGAAAATTTGGAGTTCTACGAGTGAAAGTCCCAAAAACCTAACTCAGACTAATTTTTTGGGAATTTGAAAATATTTAAAAATCAACAACAAAAATATACTTGATTTCATAGGTGGAGTCTGACACCACAGAATATACACAAACGTTACCTACCCTACCTATACAGAGGTCATTTCCAATATACATATCCAAAGATTATGTGTTAAAAATCTTATCAACTTTTATGACAAAGCAAATATTTAAAGATAAATTTTCAAAATCTATAACGATAGACCATCACAAGGACTCAAACCCCATTTGCAGAAAAGTTATCCAAAATCAGAAAATTCAAACAAAAACTGATTGAACATGCATTATGAGAAAAATGAAATTCATTAATCTTCAGAAAAAGAAAAAAAACTCACTCAAGAAGGTTCCAAATTAGCTTTGATGCGGCGCAATGAAATTAGTTGAGGTACAACAGTGCAAATACAGTGTGAAAAGCATTATAAATGACGTGAAGATGTAAAACTTTGAGAGAAAAATACAACACAAAAAAATCGACCCATAAAAAAGATGTTTTTTCTAATTTTTGTCTGCCACAGTAGCAACACAGTGTTCTCGCAAAAATCCAAGTTGAGAATGTTTCTCAACTCTTATCTATTATTAGCTTTAGAATCAGCACCACTGCCCCACCACTAAACTTTCGTCCGTCGTTTCATTTTATATGAATTAAGTCGACAGAGTTTAAGAAAAAGAAAAAAATTGAAATTTGTGAATTGATTTGTATAACTATAAATTATTTTATTAAAATAAAATAAATATTTTAAAATTAAATTATTACTTAATATATAAATTTATGTTTTTTTATACCAATTAAAAATGAAAATAAATTATATACAGTATGACAAAATGAGTACTTTTTTTTTTCACCATCTTCAATATTTGCATTATTATTTTAATTATATTGAAATTTACATTGCATAAGATTCTATTCAAGAAAAAAATCATCAATTATCAAGATTTTTTTTATATTCACATCACACCTCAAATTTGAAATCTTTGATTAAGAAAAGAATAGTCCTCTGCATCACATCTTTGGTGGCCAAACTTCTTACTTTTGAGTTTTTCATTTTAGCGAAAATTAAAGCAGTAATAGCTGTATTTTGCTTCTTTCTGACTTTATATATATATATATATATTTTAAAAGTGGGGTTGGCTTTTTTTTTGGGATCATTTACGGGCTACGGGCTACGGCTTGTTACAAAGGGATTGTAACGAGCCGTAGTTTCAAGAGTAGTTTCTCTTCGAGCTAGATATCAAAATTCAACATCTTTTGAGCGCGAATCAACCTAACTCAACAAGACTCACTTGAAATTTCTTCAAAGTTTCAAAATTACAATATTATTTAATGGTAGAATTTTCTCCACAACTTCAAATCATTTTTTGAACATAGACTCAAAAAACACTAGGAAACAGAGATCTAATGTCAAAAACAACTACAAAAACATGAATCAAAGCAATTTTTTTTGAAAATTTGACTGATTTTTGTTTTTTGGAATATTTTGTTTTAATACAAGTAATTTTTTTAAACTCTACAAATGATTTTAGAATTTTGATTTTTTTAAACAAAGAAATTAATGATGTAGCCGAAATTTGAAATGATTTCGTGAAGAATTGAATATGCTGAAAATTTTAGAGTTGTTTATGTTCATGTGTTCTTGATGTTCTTAAGGAAAAACAAACAAAAAGAGTACATTTGATCCGAATTTCAATTGAAAAATGTTAAACCTTGTTTGGGGTGTAAAAGGTGATTTTGCAAAATCGGAGTTAAAAAAAATGGCATGGATGAGCCTTTTCTTTAACAACAATGTCATAGATGAATCAAACTTTGAATAGATGACATAAATGAACTTTTTCTGAAAGTTCGATGACATATTTGAACTTTTTCTGAAAGTTCGATGACATATTTGAATAGTTTCTCTATTTTAAAAGGTCACTGAACTATGACAAATTATTTAGTAAAATCATTAAACTTTATTTTGTATCAATAATCAACTTAAGACTTTTATCTTCAATAATCATTTAACTACAATTATCATTCAAATAAATTTGACATGATAAATTAAATTATTTTTTTAATGCTATTTAATATGAACCCACAAATAAATACATTTTAGAATCTATTTTATTATTATATCCAACCTACCCATAAATTGAATTCATCTAATAGTAAAACCATATTTCCCCTAGTAAGTTGAGTCTCCCGCTTCTTCTACTTCTTTATTGACTTCTAAAAATTATGGAGGAGTATTTTATTGAAGTTCAGAATCAAAAGAAGAAGAAAAAGACTAGAAATCATAGCAAAATATTGGAATTTTTTTTGTAATTTTTTGTGGTTATGTCAGACACAAATTAGGACTACAAGTTTTTCAAATGGTATTGATATGATAGAAATTTTGAGCTTCTGACATAATCCAAAAAAAAACGTAACTACTCTCTCTGTTTCAATTTATGTGACTTACTTTCCTTTTTAGTCAGTCTCACAAAGAATGACACATTTTTATATTAAGTAATAATTTAACTATAAAAGGTCTATTTTACCCTTAATGAAATGATTTACAACCACACAAATTTCTATCATTCATTTTGGACCACAAGTTTTAAAAGTCTTCCTTTCTTTCTTAAGAGAAAATGGTCAAATGTCCCCTTAACCTATACTCGAATTTCCAACTATACACTTGAATTTCACGGGGGTCCTATTACCCCCCTAAACTGTTAAAAAATTGAAATAATTACACCCCTAAAAAGTCACAACCACATTTATGTTGATAAGTGAAATGCACGCGTTTGACAGGTGGAAATTTTATTTAAAACTTTTTTTTTAAGTTTTTCCCTTATTTAAAAACTTTGTTGAAGGTTAAAAGGTCAAAAATTATAGATTTGTGTCTTTTGATCTTCTTATTTGAATTTTGTTGATTATAATGTTGATTGTTAGTTGTTTGAAGCTGAAAACACTGGTTAAATGATTTCATAGCTGCAATTTTTAGTTCTAAGAACGCCGAATTTCCATGGAAATGGGTAAGCTTCAATATGATTTTTTTGAATCTATATTCATGAATTGGAAGCAAGTGATTTCGTTGATGGTTTGAAGAATTTTGTGTGGCTGAAAATTGAAGTTCAAGGTTGCAACCGTGAAGAACAACTTAAACCACCATTAAAGTTAGTTCAAAAGCTTGAGTTCTTATTTCGACTTGCCACAAACGATCTCCGTTTTAAGTGGGTAATATACCAAAAGAATCGAAACGGTGAGAACAGTTTATATCTAGAATTTGGAGTGATTTGAAGAAGAGTTGAGGTGATTTGACATCAATTTTTTATAGAAATTGTTCTAAAGAAGATGAAGAAATGGGTTGCATTTTTAGATTTACAGGGAAATTATCAATTGTTAAATAAGTTGAAGAATATTATTTGAAGCTATAAAATTAGTAATGGTAAGATGATGAGTGATGATGAAATTTGGGGGCTGCCATTGATGATCTACTTCTAATAGGTATGAAGAAGAAAACAAATTAGAACTAGAAACAAATACAAGAAAAAGGGAGAAAAAAAATAAAAATACGGAAATTTATGAAAAAATATTAAAAGTAAAGTTTTAATTTATTTTTTTATGTTCACTCTCTCAAGGAGAGTGCAATACACTCACTTTGCCATGTAGACATTTAGGGTGATGATAATTTTAGTTTTAAACAGTTTAGGGGGGTGATAGGACTCCCGTAAAGAATAAGTGTGTAGTTGAGAATCCGATCATAGCTTAAGGGGACATTTGACCATTTTCTCCTTTCTTAAACTCCGTGTCGAGTCAAACTATCTCACATAAAATGGGACGGAGGGAGTACTTGTTTTGCAAAATGAGAAAAAACATACACGGTATAAAAATAGAAAAAATATATAATTTTGTTTACTTACGGGTTTATGATTATATGACATAAAAATAAATAGATTCTATAATTTTATTTGTTTGTGGGTTTATAATTAAATACATACAAAAAAAATTTAGTTTATCATGTGGAATTTATTTAAATGATAAATGTAGTTGAATGATTTTTGAAGAAAAAAGTCTAAAGTTGTGATTTTATTCATATAAATCAAAGTTCAGTGACTTTGTTAGATAATTTTCCACAGATCAGTGACGTTTTAAGATATTGACTCTTTATATATGAAAAATAGTACTCCATCCGTTTAAAAAAGAATGACCTAGTTTGACTTGGAATGAAGTTTAAGAAAAGAAAGAAGACTTTTTAATCTTGTGGTTCTAAATTAAAGTTATGTCAAATGTACCAAAATGTCCTTTAATCTTGTGGCCTTAAACATGTCACGTGGAAAGTTGAAGTTAAAGTGTTGCCAAAAAGGAAAGGGGTCATTCTTTTTGAAACAGACTAAAAGAAAACTAGGAAATTCTTTTTGAAACGGAGGGAGTAATAGTTTAAATTTTTTATAAAAGAGAACAATATGTTATTAGTATAGCAAAGTGTTCATCTCTCTCCCCTCCCTCTCACTTGCCCTCCCCCCCCCTCCCCCGCGCTCTCTATTTGTACCCTTCCCCTCTCTCCCTTGCCTCTCCTCCCTCTGTGTGTGTGTTTTTCTCTCTCATGCCAATAAGAAGAAATTCATTCAAATGTATAATGTATCAATTGTATTAAATTTAATATATGTGACACTTTTGTATATTATTTCAATTGTATTCGAAAAACTGTACTTTGTATTTTTGTATTTGTACGAATACAATAAGCATTCATCCTTTTTGTCAAATGTGTTTGTATCCAATCAAAGAGAGGATGAATATAATTGTATTCATTGTATTTCAAATACAATTGATACAAAATAAATAAAGAATACAATGCCAATATATACAAAATATAATTCGTTGTATTTCAAATACAATTGATATAAAATAAATACGTAATACAATGCAAAGTAAATACAAAATACAATCCTCTCTCCTCTCTCTCTTGATTCTGCTCGCCTCTCTCCTCTTAATATGTATTTATTTTGATACAAATCAATTTGTATTTGCATTTTTTCTTCGAAATTTGCAAAATAAATAAACTTTCTCCTCTCTCTTCCAGATCTCGCTCGCCTTTCTCGTCCTTCCTCTCCCAACATTTTGCTATTATTTGTAATAAAGCAAAATATAGGTATTGAGTGCCTAATGTTTGTTATTTTTAAAAGTTTTCCTTATTATTTCTAAATAGGTCATGGCCTATGTCACGACCCGGGAGCACCCCCTAGTCGTAACCGACGTACTCGACCTCGAAGAGGTCTAATACAAGTCTCTTAGCATTCATTCATCGCATAGACACTAAAACCATAAGGAATTAAAAACTTTCTTTACAAGAAAACATTTCATAAAAAAAAAAAAATATAGCAAGCGGAAGACTTTCTAG